GGGCGGTCATCTAAAGAGGGTTGTTAGCGGGGAAGGGAGGGAGCGGACGGCGCACGGTGGCTTTTCTCTTTACAGGGCGCGGGGAGGGCGTGGTGGGAGGCTGAGAAGAAAAGACGAGAAAAGACAGGCCTCGTATTGACGGAAGGCCCGGGTGTGCCAGCTAGGGTAGTCCCGGAGGTCCGGGGGGTCATTCGAGGACGTGATTCCGTTGTTGATCAAGGGATCAAGTCCATGGCGGAACTTGGTCACCTTGACCAACGCGTCTTCGAATCCGGCGAGGTCCATCAGGTCCTCGAAGTCGTCAGTGTACTGGTAGACATCCTTTGTGCCCATGTGATAGGCGGAAGTCTCCAGCTTGGAGAGAACGTGATCTTGCTCGTTCTCCTCGACGAACCGGAGTCGAAACTCGGAAACGAACGAGCCCCAGGACGGAAACGGAAACGGGGCTTTGCTTCCGTGGTGCTCCGCCCATTGCTGAGCGGGTCCTTCTGCCATAAACGACATGGCATAGCGGACGGCCTTTTCCTCGCTCGCCTCTCCGTTGACCACAAAGGCCTCAGGGGCAAGGCGGGCGTAGGTGCAGACCGCGTAGAGAAACGCGCGGCCGCGTTTCCGATCGCCGTTGAAGGTGAACGGAGGGTTTGGTCGCAAGACCAATTTTGAGGCGAGGTTGATGTCGCCAAAGAGGGCCTCGGAATCGCCCTGAACCGGAGTCGGAGTCGGAATCGACGTCTCCGGGGGTGGTGTTGTTTGGGGTCCGCCAGCAGTATTAGCGGCGGCAGCGGCAGCGGAAGCCTGGGTGGTGAGTAAAGCAAGGGCCTCAGTTAGGCTATCGATTTTCACCTCGAGTGAGTCCAGCCGGGCGTCTGCGGTAGGAGTGACTCCGGACGGCATGACGGGTGCGGGGACCACAGGAGTAGAGGAGGAGGAGGGGACAAGTGGCAGGGGCGGTGACGAGGGCGGAACGGACTCGTACTCCGAGCCTGAGTCAGCGCCGAACCTGGCAATCTTGTCCGGTTGATCCCGTAGAGAGTTTCTTCTGCTGTAAGGGCAACCCCGGAGGCCTGACATCAAGGTCCTAGCAGGGGAGGATCCAAAGAGAAGAAACTCTAAGGGTCCGCCTGCTAGGTAGCTGACTATATACTGCTTGTCCGTAGCTGCCGCTGTCGGGCACAGAAGGCTTGGGCGGCGTTGCAGGCGAGGTCCCAGGGCGACCGTCGGGAGGGCGTTGACAGATCGGTGATTGTGCGGGCGAGATGGAGGGCCGGACCGGAGTCGGAACCGGAGTCGGACCGGAATCGGGCGCGTCTCCGGGCCGAAAGGGAGGTTCCCCTGACACTGCCCCTCTTCTTTGGGTTTGGGCATTTGGCCAGCAAGATGTCGCACAAGCGCAGAGCAAAAGAATTTTGCAGATGTGACTACGGTGACATATGTGACTACTGTGACCCGGCCGGCCGAGAAACCACGAGAAACCATGTTTCTTGTTTGATGCGCGAGAAACTGGGCTGGTTTCTCGTTGCCCAATGAGCCCTTAGAGTTAGTTCAGTAGGGCCTAGTTTACAGGGATATTTGTAAGCCACATTATATTATCTTAGAAATTCTCAGTCAAGCCTATTTGGGGTTATAATCTGAATTTCTTCTAATTTCACTTTGAAACTAACAGTGTTGATTAATGTTTGTGTCTGAGTTGTTCTGGCATGCATGTCAGGGGAACCCCCGCTTCGGCCTCCTTCGGACCCTCCGAACGCATCTGAGGCGCATCCGACCGGCGCCCCCTCGGACGCTCCGACCCACCCCGACCATCATCCACGGCCTCCTTCGCCCGCACAATCACCGATCCGTCAAGACCCTCCCAACGATCACCTTGGGACAGAGCCTGCGACGCCGCTCAGGCCTTCTGCGCCTACGTCGGCAGTTACGGATGACCAGTATATAGTTGGCGCCCTAGCAGGCGGACCCTTAGAGTTTCTTCTCTTTGGATCCTCCCCTGCTAGGTCGGTCCCTCCGTGTATTTCCGTAGCTTTTATTCACGCTTTGGATCCTCCCCTGCTAGGCTTTCGTTGGAGTCTCCAGGGTTGCCCTTACAGTGTATGTCTTCTCGTTCCCCTTACTTACTATGCCTTTGTACTGTGAACGGAGGGTTTGGTCGCAAGACCAATTTTGAGGCGAGGTTGATGTCGCCAAAAAGGGCTTCGGAGTCGCCCTGGACCGGAGTCGGAGTTGGAATCGACGTCTCCGGCGATGGTGTTTGGGGTCCGCCAGCATTATTAGCGGCGGCAGCGGCAGCGGAAGCCTCGTTGGTGAGTAAAGCAAGGGCCTCGGTTAGGCTATCGATTTTTGCCTCGAGTGAGTCCAGCCGGGCGTCTGCGGTAGGAGTGACTCCGGACGGCATAACGGGTGCGGGGACCACAGGAGTAGAGGAGGAGGGGACAAGTGGCAGGGGCGGTGACGAGGGCGGAATGGACTCGTACTCCGAGCCTGAGTCAGCGCCGAACCTGGCAATCTTGTCTGGTTGATCCCGTAGAGAGTTTCTTCTGCTGTAAGGGCAACCCCGGAGGCCTGAGATCAAGGTCTAGCAGGGGAGGATCCAAAGAGAAGAAACTCTGAGGGTCCGCCTGCTAGGTAGCTGACTATATACTGCTTGTCCGTAGCTGCCGCTGTCGGGTAAGGCTTCTCACGAGTGTCACGGATAAATACCTGTACTCTACCTACGGGTAATTTAGGCTTCAAAACCAATACCTGCATTTGCAGCATCCGTGGGAAACGGGTACCTGTACTCACAGATACGGGTACCTGCACGGGTTATCCACGGGTATTTTGAATGAAATATTAGGATACTGAGGTATATTGACAATATTAAGAGCTTATATAGAATATAGTATCAAGTACTATACTGATATGGACACTACAGGGCATAAGAAGACTGTAGTGACTGGAATATATAGAAGATAATGAAAATTAAGATCTTCCAGAGTCATACCTGTACTCTTGGCATCCGTGGGAAACGGATACCATCCTTATCAGGCACATGGGGTAGGGGGGGGGTCCCCGGGGATAAAAAAAAACTTTTTGTATATGAAAGATTTGGGCCTTATATGGGTGTAAAGCGACTGAAAATATAGTGTATATACTCCAATTTCTATAGTTCACAACTCTCATACTTATATCTATATACTTTCAGGCTCATGAGCTTGGATAGCACACTCTGTCATAGGTCTATTGACAGGTAATTGATGAGAGGTGAACATGTTGAAGAGCTGATATAGCCTGCCATATGTGTTTGAAGGTTCCAGGTACATACATACATACACATATATACATATACATATATAAAAAAATTTGCAAAAAAAAGTTTCACAAAGATTGAATTTTTTATCCCACTTTTTGATCGCATCAGTGGTCACATGATGCAAATCGTGGGAACATATTACCCGATATGGCAGGAGGGGGGGAGGGGGGGGGTCCCCCAGGGGTCGGAAAAAAACTTTCCGACCCTATATCCATGATTCGAGACTTGAACCCCCCTTGTCCGGGGTTGCCCTTACATTTGAACTATGCTATTTATATGTAATTTCTGTTTGCCCAAGTTGATAAATAAAATGGTTATTTAAATGTTTATTACCATTTATAAATATTTACAAATGGAAAAAACGTTTCACGACACATCCCAGCCCCGGCCCCGGCTGCGCAACACATTCTGACTCATATCAGTCTGCGGGTGCTGGGCCACGGCGGTTCGCCCCCACCTGTGTGTCATGAGTTTGCATGCCTCATCGGGACGACTATTTTTTTATTATTCATTTGTTGATGTCTGTGGCGCCTTTTCGGCGTCTGCTGTGTGGCGATGCCCAGCCGCAGCTACCTTGAGCCTGTAGCAACAGACAGTCACACCCAGACCACATCTATCCTGCGAGACCATTGACATCCTGCAGCATGTCTGACCAATCTACTGTGCATGGGCATGGGTTGTTCAATGTGGCCATAAGCCCACTGGAAGTTACATATATCTTCTCATTTTTTTTCCTGAGCAGACCACAGTTCACAAACTATGTTGCAAGCAAAGGTAGTTCCAGTGGCTATCACTATAGGTAATTCATGCCATTTCAGAGCGAAATATGTAAGAAAAATAGTTTGCCAAATTTTCAAATATGGTATGACTCTGGTACTATACTAATTTATTAAATTCAGTGGCCCAAATCTGTATGCCATCAGCACCAAAATTAAATTTTCAAAGCTGCCAGGTGATTTGTCTGACTGCTGAAAATTTTGTTGGGTGGAGTACTATGACATCATAGCTGAATCACAGTAATCTCACCATAAATTTACCTCATGCAACCATTCTGACATCACAGTGGAGCTACCAGGGTGAACCAATGTACTCTTAATAAGGTCTTGCACAAATTTAGTATGTAGGGTTTCTTGTTTTTGGTGAAATATATATACCACTACGCAACTGTTAAATTACTCATAAGCAATATCCCAACAGGAATAATGACAAAAGGCTTTGAGTATATATAAAGGTTGGTAAGGCTTTAAACTACATATGGAGTATTTTAATATGCAATACAAGGTAGGTATACTGTCACTGTGCCCACTACTACTTTCCAATAGGAAGGCTTACAACTTAGTTAGGCTGTAGTGTGCCTAGTGTCACAACACAAACTATTCAACAGTATTGCTGATTTGAGACTTGAAGTTGACTCGGAGACCCCCCCTCGCTTTGGCCTTTGCACGATGTCTCTAGTCTAATCACGAATATCCGGAGCCATCGCTAAACAAATCAAATGCAAATCAAATGTGTGTGTATATGCGAGTTCGACACTTGTGTATGTTGATTTATGGAGGAGAGATACCCCTGGGCTGCTAACAACAATCAGTACAACTCACCCGGGAGTTATCTATTGTTCTTGACTGCTCCTTGTCCATATTTGGTTCTTATTGTGACGATCTGCCATATAAGGGAAATGTCACTTACGTCACGTAACCACTTCTTGTCATACGCCGTCATGTCCTTCGCCAAGCTCCCCGCTGAACTCCTTTCTGAAATCGCCGCTTACTGTCCAGCAGAGCACACAGCCGCGCTGCGTAGCGTGAACAAGATGATGAGTGGGGTGATGGCTCCCGCGTTCTTCAGCTGCCTGCCGTTGATGCTGTCGCCGGAAGGCCTCCAGGAGAGGACCCGAACGATGTTGAGGGCAGTGGCGCGTGGCAAAACGAAAACCGGGTGGGGCAAGTGGGCAGGGAGCATACGGATGACGCTGCGCGGTGCAGATGAGCCCATTATCTCCTGGCATGCGCTGGTCGTCAAGCGTGAGCCGGCCGCACGAGCCGCACAGGACGAGCGGAACGCGTTCCTCGAACGACGGCGGGAATTGGAGAGGAAGGATCTTCCACTACTGAGGCGGGCGCTGAAAGTGTTGCCTGGGACACGCTCTGCAAGGTGCGTCAATCGCCTACTTATATGCGTTTCAATTTCTGACTTGGGGTATGCGCCTTGTCCACAGTTTTGAGTGGGATACAATGGACTTGCCCCACGGCGTCATCTACGCCATCCTCAAGCATCTACGGGCAGCGGGTTCCAACTTCCAGGAGCTGAAAATCGCCCTGACTGGGCAGCAGGGTGGCCTGGACAAGCGGCCTGATATCTCTTGGCCCACGTTCGACCACCTGCGCTCGCTGACACTGGAGAGTCCACGCCTCCCCGAAACATTGGCTATGCTGGCTTCTTATCTTTGCGACGCTGGCTCGACGAGGGCGATATCGCGCCTCGTAATTCGCACGACCCATCAGGGCTCCGGCCACCTTTGGGAACAATTCGTCCTCGGCCACTGGGACCGCGTCCGAGAGCTGTGTGTCAGCGAAGAGACCTTGCTTTCCAACAACAGCCAGGCGCTGAAGCATGCGCGCTCGCTGGAGGCGCTGCAGATTGTCCCACGACCACCGCGGTCTGTGGCTGAGGGCCGTCGTTGGGAGGAGCAGCTGTCCGACGCCGACATGGCGGCACACGGGAAACGATTTTGGACGGCTCTCACGGCCGGCACTGACCAGAGGCGGATCCGCCTCAAAGAGCTTCGTGTGTCGAAGCTTTACGGCGGATTGACGGACTATCTACTCTCCTATGAGGGCCTGGAGGTGCTGATAGTCACAAACCCCTCCGGTGCCGCCCTGCCAAAAACAATCCCCGATTCTCAGTCGCCAGCTACTGACGCCTCTGAATTGGACGATGAACCGGAGAACGCCTCTTCCAAATCCAAATCGCTGGTAGAAATGGCTTCTGTGGATGCTTTTTTCGATCAGGTCGTAGCAAAACACGCCAGCTCGCTCCGGATACTCCAGGTGACCTCGCCTTACGCCGGCCGATGGAGCTTTGGCCGCCATAACGCACATGCAATACGTCAGTTATCCAACCTGCACACGTTAGTCATGAGCGTGGACGTGGAGCGTGTGGAAAGAACGCTGAAGGCCGTCGCGGACCGCGAGGACGACGTCAACGCGGTCGTATGTGTTTATCCTCGCTTCACGCATGCATTCTAACGGAACCGCTCACTGTGTAGGAACACTTCCTTGGCACGATCGGAGACCTTCCGTCCTTACGCTATGCTGCGTTGCTCGGAACGGTTCCCCTGCGGCGCCAGCTGGAGCACGGATGGGACAGCGTTGTGTCCGCGTCGTACCGAGGACAGGCGCTGTGCGCAGTCGAGGTGGCCGTCGAGCAATCCGCGCCAGGGCAGCTGACACACGGGGCTGTGCTCTTCGCGGGCCGCAACGTGTATTGCCAGAAAACGGATGGGACGTATGGGGTGTTGGAGACGCTCGGCATTACGAGTATGGGCCCGGCCGAGGTACCTCCGTGGGCTGAGATGTAAGCTTTGGAAATTGTTTAACGTCAATAACAAAAACAAACCGGGTTGATGGGGTGGAGCTTTCCCCACCCAACTATTAAAGAGTTGCCAGTGGAGAAGCCGCAATATAGAGAGTATGTCCAGTACCTGGAGTAGCTATAGTTATATATATGATGGTTAGCTCTGACCTTTGACAACGAGGACATGATGTCATTCACAAACTGATTTATCAGTTTTGCTTATACCGACCGGGAGTGACCAAACCGAAAGTGCCCTGATTTGTGACGACCACTGCATCACTCATGCCGCTGTCACGCTCTCACGTCAAAGAGACTCTTGCTTTAAAACTAGGTGTCGGCCACAGCCGTCACGGACCTTGCTTTGAAATCTCGCTTTAGTTCCCGCCGAGTTCTTTTCAACCTTTGTATTCTTCTACATAATAAGTAAAATAACAGGCCCATGGACTACGCTTTTTGTGGCAAACCAAAGTGTGCGCCAAAGGGTGTCGAGTTTCCAGAGCCTGCTCGATAGCATCCTCGCTATACAGCAAGTCTACAGCGAGAAGCGATAATGTTGAGCTAGCGAATCTCTGCATCGGCATCTCATCGACAAAGGCTAGTTTATATGATCCCAAGGGGTAAGATCCAAACTCGGAGGTGAAGAAGCTCATGGCCGAGCGTAGAGTAGATGTTGACGTTGTCATGGGCAATTCGTGGCCAGGAAGGCAGAAGGCATACATCGGACGTTACATGAGTTGCCTTCCTCGACGGAATCGTCCGAGGGAATCGAGAGCAGACGGAGACAGACAATTATATACCCTAATAGCATTTTTTTGGGGGACAAATGATATGAGAAAAGGCAGAATATCCATCGACTAGTGGGTGGATAACCATATTGGCAATTGCAAAAGTCTCACACACACATCTGAAGGCGTAAACCTATGTGCATAGGAGGAAAAGAGGACATGAAAATCACGGTTACGAGCGGATCATCGATCAAGACCGACATCAGAGGCTGTGCGTAGTTTCGCCGAGCTTTCTACGGAGGTTTGGGCTTTTTGGCCTTCGGGTTAGTTTGTTGCTGTTTGCAATCAGCTTGATCAAACTATCATCATGATTGGCAAGTATAGACGGGCCAGGGACCTTGCAAAGCAAGGTGATCCCAAAATACTTACAAAAGAAAACAGCTTGCCTAGAAAATATTTTGGACAGTATTCCCAGAGTATGGTAAACCAAAAGTCATATATGCATGTTCAAGACATATTATTTTATTGGTAACAAATGTAAATAATCCTAGTACTTGGCACAACTCATACAGTTCATACCAGGGACAATAACAATTTACATGTTTAATAACTTGAACAGATAGAAAATAAAACTTAAAGAAAGTAGACTTGATTTGCAAGTAATGGGATCACATTTCAAGTTCTCAGATAGGATATAAGTCAAAGCTAATATCAACAGACCATTTTATAACCATAATCTATAGCAAATAAATACGGCAAATGTGCCACAAAATATAAGACCAAATCTGCAAGGTCCAGCAGCAAAAATGTACCTAATATATCAGAGATAAGTGAAAAAATGGCTATTATATATATATATTAAGAGAAAAATTCAGGTAATAATATTTCTTTTGAAAAATATTGAGGCTTAAGTGAGATGCATCTATTATTAACAAATATTCTGGATTTTATGTCCTGATACAGAAGACAGCTATAAACTAGATGCTGCTCATGCAACCCTTGACGGTGCGCAAGGCAAGCAGAGGGTGTAATGTATCAGATCCTCTCTGATGTTTTAAATAGACCATGGTGTTCCAAATCCTCCTGGGCCGGACTCTGCTGGAGTCCAAATAACTTCAAGAAATTTCCTCAGTCCTGGGTTAGTGGTCTTCTGGCCTTGGCTTGGCCTGAAAGCCATGTCTTTGGCCCGGCTTTCCTTAGCTTTGGCCTAGCAAAACGTCAGGCCAGGCCAACTCGGCTGGCTTTGGCCTGGCTTTAGCTTGGCTTTGGCCCAGGCCATGGCCGCAGCTGAGTTTGATCCGGTGCTGTTGGACAGATATTGGCATCAGAAACAATATTAAATATTTGATCTAGTTCAAAGACTGGTAAGAAGGCAAACTGTAGAGCATCTATAAAGCCTTTAGATACTAGCAATGACCCTTCTAGGCTAACATATCACTAGATAATTTCCTTTCTGGGTAGTTAAATCAGCTATCAATGATCATAATGAAAGCCATTGGCTTTTGGCCTGGCTTTGGCTTTCTAAACCCTTAAGCCAGGCCAAAGCCAACACAGGCCAAGATTTCTGGCTTGGCTTTGGCCCTGGTACCAAAGCCAAAAAGCCATGGCTTTTTGGCCTGAAGCCAAAGCCAGAAGACCACTATCCTGGGTATAGGTTGCTCCAGGAGATGCTAGTGTCATGCACATCAGTATTTGCAACAATTGCCATCTGCACTTATCTGTAGTGTATATAGTTGGGGGGGGGCATGTACGTAGGTACAGAAACCACATATTTCCTTGTAGGGACCAAAGCAGCGAATACACTTTCTTTCTTTTTTTCAGAACTTGATTTCTCCTTGACCAGATTAAGTGTTCTTTTCTTGATGATCAATTAGAGCTGTTAAACATTAGAATTATGTTCTGCTTTGGGAACAATCTTTAGCAGAAGCCCTGGTGTGATTCAATACTTTGAAGAAATATTACTCTGAGTTAAAAATCAAGCTTAAGCTCTTGTGAGGATAATGTAGAATCTGGAAACACCCACATTTGCTATCTTGGACTTAATTGCTACTACAATGATGAAAGAAAGAATACTTTTTATTTACTTTCAATCAGTTTGTGCTACACCGCTCGTCGGCCCTACCTTGAATCATACCAACGTGGTTATTACTGTATATGCATGTCACGGTGATAGCAATCAAACATCCTTCTCTTCCAAACCACGATGGCACTTGCTCTACCTCCAGAACTCATGGTGGAGATCTGGTCCTACCTTCCGCCGAGCATCCTCAGGTCACGCATCCGGGGGTCTGACAATCCAACCCATGCTCCGCCGGTCGTTCCACTGCTGTTTGGCCACGTGTGTAGTCACTGGCGCATGGTCTGCCACGCCACCCCGTCGCTCTGGACAACACTGTCTCTCAAAGTACATCGCCGTCGTCACGGCATGTTTGCTCCCCTCATGGTCCTTTGGCTCGACCGTGCTGCCTCCCTGCCATTGAATGTCTCGTTAACGCTACCACGCGCCCGCGAAGTCGCGATAAGCGTTGTGTGGGTAATAGTAATGTTCGTGAGCGGGCGCGTGATTCGTTTTCGTTAGATCAGATGGCAACATTCGTGAGATTGATGGCACCTTTTAGCCGACTGTCAATTTTCGTAAGATCACGGAACGTCACGGTGACACGGTCAACGTGACGACGCCCCACCACTTTTCTTTCCGCAACCACCACCATCTCCCCCCTTCCCCGACATCGCCCTGCGACACTGAGCCCGATGTACCGCGCTGCACGATGGATGTCCACCCCCATCCACGCCAGGCGTCACGGTCGCCAGCTGAAGACAACTGAGATAGGTCAGCATGTTCGCGCGGGCGTCAAGCTAAACCGGAGGTTTGTGGCCGTGTCATGCGCAAAACCTCGGGCTTGGCAGGCGGTGCCGTGGGGGACAGCGAGGCGAGGGGAATCGCGCTGGGCACGGACCGGCGGCAGGCCTTGGGCCGGAAGTGGCCCGTGGGCAGACTCGGCCTGGTGCCCTGGTCGACCGTCGCGCTCCTTCCTTACGGCAGCTGCGAGCTCGGCACCGTGCGCCTTGCGCGCTGGTCTTGGGTGGCGCATATCTGCTACAGGAGGTCAATCGCGTTGGTGAGCACCGGACGGTCCCGCGCCGGATCGGAGGCCCGGCGGCAGTCGCCGTGGCGGGCGGTGGCTAAGTTGGCAGCGGAGGGGCCGGCGAGTGGCTCATTAGACCCCGCCTGGTGCCCAGGGCCCGCGCGAAGGTCGCATTACAGACGGAGGCGGGGGACAACGTTGTCAGGGGGAAATGGTCTGCGCTGCCAGACGGTTGTGGTCATCCTGGGGCTGAGGACTGAGAGATCGTTGAGTGGCCGGTAAGTATACCCTTATTGACCTGTAGAATTGTGTGTAACACATAGATCATCAATATAAAGTGAATTTCTGGCCCTTACTACGCGCTGAAAGTAGGAATTTTCGACCTCAGTTGATGGGATCAAAGTCAGCAACAAATCCGCTGAGCTCCCCTCCTGCACGAACCCGTCCTCTGTCGCTCTTGTCAGCCAAAAGGTAACACATGGCACTATGATGCCCCGTTGACAGCTCACGAAAGCTGACCGCGCGCCCGCTCACGAAGATTGCCAGGGCCCGCGTTGTGTCGAATATCCTGTGGAGGCATGGCTCGCACATACGGCGCCTCTACCTCAAGATGCCCAGCGGTGCCCTGCGCGCCATTGTCGATCACCCACTCCACGTCCTTCCCCAACTCGCCAGCCTTTCCATCTGCGCGGCGGACGACACAGAGGGCTCGCCCTGCCGCCTTGCATTTTCATTTGGGTCGCCGGAGCTCCGGGAGCTGAGCCTGGCCGGCCCGCTACGAGTTGATTTAGCCGATTCCGTAGTCCCGTGGACGCAACTGAAGCGTCTCGTCGCCGGCCCGGGTTTCAGCGCGGGACACGCCCTCGGCATCCTCCGCATCGCACCGAGCGTCGCCGACTTCACGCTGGGTGCAGATGCCGAGCTGTTGCGCCACGACCCGAGTTTCCCCGCCGGCACCTTGCTCCGCCATCCCGCCCTGCGAACACTCGACCTTTGCCACAACAATGAAGTGCTGCTCGCTCTACACACGCCCCAGCTGGAAGATCTCCGACTCGTTATTGAGCACGGCAGCGAGACCATGACACTGGCCTGCGTCCTCGTGCTCATGCAGGGCTCCGGCTGCGCCCTGACGCGACTGCAGATTCGCGGGGACCTCCCACCGGCCGACCAGGCCCTACACGCCTTCTTCGCCG